GCCCCGTGGAACACCTGTTGGAGACCCTACGAGAAGCCCGAGGCCGAGCATACCCGCAAGGGGAAGCCGCGCATCGGCGGCAGGAACAGGGCACCCGACCCCGCATGGAACCCCCCTTATTCCTGACAGGTGCTAAGGTGTGGCTACACACCCCTCGCGTCGGGGCCGGGCAGGTGGGGAAACTGACGACCTACTGGCGGGGACCCTGGACCGTGGTGCGACAGATCTCCCCCTGGACGGTACTAATTGATGGCGGGGAGAGGGGTCGAGAGACGGTGGTCAATGTCCGCCGCTTAAAACCGTGGAAAGCGGCCCCGGCGAGAGAGAACCCCGTCACCCGAAGGCCCCAAAATCCCGGAGTACCCGCATCCCCCGTGCCCGGGGGCCTCGCGCAGTATATGGGCCCCACGGAGCCCAGGGCTCCGAGGGGCCCCGGGCGGGGCCGGGGGCGACGAGGACGGCGACCCTTAAACCCCACCGCTTCTGAGTTTGTTTCCCAGCCCGCAGGTGCCAGAGGCCGAGGGGAGCCGTTGGAATGGAGGAGGAGACCACCGCCGGAGCCCCAGGAGACGGAGCCGCCACCCCCGAGGCCAGCCACAAGGGCCGGGCGAATCCCGCGGACCCCGCGGCGATACCTCGTGGGGGCAACCCAGGCGAGGTGCTCAAGTCAACCCGGGACGGGGACTGGCACCCCGGGGGGCTATGTGGTGCCACAGCGACGGGGCCGCTCTGCCGAGCCAGGGAGCCGCCCGGCTTCCCCCACCGCACTGCCCCCCAACACCCGCACGCATCCCCCCCCCCCCCCATAGAGCTGGAAGGGAAGGTTACCTGATCGACCGGTTTTTATCCGAGAGACCCTTATCGGGATTAATTCTCACGGTTTCCGGCGATCAGGGAATTGGATGACCTCCCCCGTGCTACGTGGTACCGCGGCGCTGCTACCGGCCTTAATATTGTGTGGTCGCGGCGTGGGGCATTCGGCCACCGCGGTTGAGGCGCATTTCCCCCCACACACACCCCCACGAGTCGACGGGGCAAGCAGGGGAGGCACGAGACAGCATGAATAGCGGGGTCACAGGGGCTGTTGCGCATAGTCATGGGGGGTTGGGATAATTGCGCTTGAGCGCGCAGGCCCCATTGTTAGGAAGGGTAAGGGAGTAATTAGGATGTACGCCGCCAACGTCGCTCACTGATTAGCATATCAACAGCGCCTGGGGACTGGCGTGCGTGGGCTTGGGGTGCACGAGCCCATTGTTCAGCGCAGCATCCCCTTTGGAGGTAGGGAGGATAAATAGAGGAGCGCAGAGGGGAAATCGCCCTCTTACTCCAGCGCCAGGCGACCAGACGCAGCTCGAGCCAGCGACCCGGACGTCCGTGCGACGCACCGAGGCACGCGGTTAACACAAGGATCAGCGGACCGCCGTGGACACTTAACAGTGAGTAAGAAGGGGAATTAGAATCATAGCCGATAAATAGGGAATAGGTGCCGGTTTAGTGGAATAGGCCAGCCTCGTCGACTCACTAATTCAACATTAGTTATCAGGTAATAAATCATTAATAGCGAAGCGTGGTCTCGCGTGATCTTGTCGTGCAGTGTGAGCGTGTGGGAACGCGTGTGGTACCGTGTGTGCGTAAGCTCGCAGCGTGCGTAATCGGCGTCCCCCAGGTGCGCGATCATAGCGTAATCGGGTGCGCTGTGTGCACAGTGGTTCGCCACGTGAGTGAGCGCTGCGCGGAGCTGAGCGCGCGGGTTGCGTGTGGGAACGCGTGTGGTACTGTGTTTGCGTAAGCTCTGGTCGTGCGAAATCGGCGTACCCCAGGTGCGCGATCATAACGCAAGCGGCCAGCAGACGGCGAGCGCTGCGCAGAGCGGCGCAAGAGTGGGTGTCGCGTGTGTTCACTCCGTGTGTGATACAGGTGCGCGATCATAACTTGCGTAGTTGGTGTGGAGTTGGAGTGCACGGAGCGGCGTGTGTGTGTGTGCATACGTTCGTTACATGTCGGATACGGATGCGCATTGGTAACGTGCCGCACAGGGCTATACTGCGAGCACGGCGTTTGATTGACGATGATGTGCGCACGTATGCTCGCAGCGTGGGAGCGCGGCGCGAGGCTGTAACAGTAGGGGCGTCGCATTCGAATGCCGGCGAAACCGTAGCGAGTAATAGGGAGGTGGGGTAACGTAAACGGAATAGGGGATGCAGGCGGGAGGGACCCCGGGGGCCGACGGCCCCTACACGTACCTTTAACACGTTATTAAACAAAAACACCCAATAAAAATGGTGTGAAAATAAAGTACACAAATGTATGTAGATCGTAATCGTTGTACATTAGCAACGTTGACGCTACTTGTCTCTTGCAACGGGCCTGTTGCACTCCTCAGGCCTAGCTAAGGCTTTGGCGTTTCCATGGCAACAGTGTTTCCTCTAACACTTAAAACGAGTTCCTATGCCACTTGCAAACTTTAATAATAGTGCTGTTTGTTGCTGGCAATCGGTAGAGGTGGGGACTTCCCCAAAACGGTGCTCTACATTTAATTAAAATAAACCGTGGAACGTTAATGAAAGCATGTTCGATAAAATAATACAATTCTTAAAACCCCGAGTTTAAACAAGTTGTTATATTTCGATTTAAAGCTTTCGTGACTGCAGGGATTCATCTTCTTGGTTCTTTCGGTAAAGTCACGTAAAAGGGAAGTAATAAAATAATAAAAATAAAACATAATAAAATACAATTCTCACGACGTTTTGGCCACAACGCAAGCAGCTGTCCTCCCTTCTACGTGACTTTACCTAAAGAACCAAGAAGTTGTTATATTTAAACTGTTGTTGAAAACGTCTCAGCCGCCCCGTGCTCCCCACGCTAGCTACACTACTACACCATACCTAATCACCATCATCATCCATGCTCTATCCACTGCTAGATGAAGGCTTCCCCAACCATCCCCCTAGAGCCATTGCCAACCACTCAGGGTCCATCCACGATGCCTCATCCCGAGACGATCAACTCCATAGTCCCCTCTCTCTGGGGGTAATCATCGACCGTGGTGGCCTCCCTAGCCACGGCTGCCACTGGGGGTGGTGGTGGTGGTGGTGCCCCTCTAGGCCAGGATGGATGGGGTTGAAGGTAGCCTTGGAAGGGCACAAACCTTCACCCTGAAACCTTAACCTGCGACACCTCTCCTGTAACCACTGGGAATGGCCTTAATTGGTGGCTAGGAGATGTTAACTACCTCGCCTGGTATAACAGGAGGTCGTCGGTTCGAACCCGACCCAGACGCTTGCTGCTGTATATTTGGAGTTTGCGTGTCTCTCTCATCATGATCACGGTGGCTAGGAGATGTTAACTACCTCGCCTGGTCTAACAGGAGGTCGTCGGTTCGAACCCGACCCAGACGCTTGCTGCTGTATATTTGGAGTTTGCGTGTCTCTCTCATCATGATCACGGTGGCTAGGAGATGTTAACTACCTCGCCTGGTCTAACAGGAGGTCGTCGGTTCGAACCCGACCCAGACGCTTGCTGCTGTATATTTGGAGTTTGCGTGTCTTTCTCTCCCCGTGGTCGCGTGCATTTTTCTCCAGGTCCTCCGGATTTTTCCCCTCCACATTTAGAATCAGCGTCACGCTTTCTGAGTATTTGGCTGCTATACATTCCCACCTAATGATGATGATGATGAGCCCACTTCGTTGAGCTGTCATTTGTGGTGGCCAGCCAGCTTCTGAAGAAGAGCTACGTATCAACTCAGCGAGGCCTTACCTGGTAAAAATAAAATAGCAAATAAATAGCAGTTTCTTTCAAAGATTGTCTGAAAGAAAGTAATCGCTCACCCGGAGTTTCAAGTTGCTTTCATCATCGAGATCAGTTGTTCTTAACTTTTATTGCAGCCTTGCACCCCTTTGATTCTCAATCGTAAAAAAGGTACAACGTTAACACACAGGTTTTATGAAACAAAGTAGGTGTATTTCGATTTAAAGCTTTCGTGACTGCAGGGATTCATCTTCTTGGTTCTTTCGGTAAAGTCACGTAGAAGGGAAATAATAAAATAATAAAACATAATAAAATACAATTCTCACGACGTTTCGGCCACAACGCAAGCAGCCGTCCTCAGGTGAAGAACAGGTCTGTCGGAAAGAGGACAAAACGTCGTGAGAATTTAATTTGATTATGTTTTATTATTTTTAAATTGTATTTTATTATGTTTTATTTTTATTATTTAAAAATTGTATTGTATTATGTTTAATGTTTATAATTAAATTTTTATTACTTTATTATTTCCCTTCTATGTGACTTTACCGAAAGAACCAAGAAGATGAAAGTGGTTGTACTTACGTGCCCGTGCTTAATTTGTTTTTGGATGATTTACCTTTAAAACAAGTATAACCCGTAAAAACAAAGTTTTTCACTATAAATCCTTTATATGCGTGGCGGCTAGAGTCCTCTCGTCCTCTGGCTTGAGATGGCTGCCACCTATGGGTCAGATGATTGCATTGCACCATTAAGCAATTGGTAATTAAATTTAAATTTTTTTTCCTAAAGAGTGTAAAATTTTGGAAAAAAAATTTCACGAACATTAATTGTCACGCACAACGAGTCTGTGTGGAAAATGTCAGCTCGATTGGATCACGGGAAGTGGGTTAAAAAACGACCGAAAGATTTGCACGGTCGTAAGCAAGCAAGCGAACTTAATATAAAGGATTTAAAAACATGTGGCCATGTACACCATTGGAACCTCATTTGCTAGTAAAAAAGTATAATTGGTTTTTTACCCTTCTATCTGGCAACAAAACTGACACCTTTTTTTACAAGGAGTCATGTTTGCATAGACCACAATACCTGCAGCCATAATGCAAACAAATCAACCTCAAGGACAGTGTATATATTATCAGAGTTATGTTTTTTGTTTGCATTATGGCTGCAGGTATTGTGGTCTATGCAAACATGACTCCTTGTAAAAAAGGTGTCAGTTTTGTTGCCAGATAGAAGGGTAAACAACCAATTATCATGTGGCCATGTCTCGCACCCCCAGAGAGGGCATCTTGCACCCCCAAGGGTGCGTGGGGCATCCCAGGTTAAGAAAAACCACTGCTCTAGATTGACAAACGCATTTCTTCAGAACTGATCTTTGCATTTAGCTTTCATGTCGCTCCGGATGTCCGCTGCAAAGTATGACCTTGAGTTTTGATTATAGTGTGCTGATCTTTAAAGGTGCATTGAAACATGTTGATACTGCTACTGATACTCCAGCTGTTATGGAGTGACTCATGATGCCAGCTATGGCTGCAAAGTTTGGTCGTACATGTTATGTATATCGTTTATTGTTAAATTTGAATCACAGTTCCTATGATCACTGTTACATTGCTTTTATAGCTTTATTTTGGTGATTTAGAAAACGTTTGGTTTAGCCATGTTTGTTTGTTGAAGTACAGAGTTAGCCTGATAACTTTGATCTAAATTGTCTTATGGTGGTTATTGTTTGACTTGCATCCCACTTGGATTTTTGCACACAGCGTTGATGTGCGGTGCTTTTTCCGGACGATTTTGCTGTTTTTTCCTGGATGTGTCTGTTGCGTGTAGTCACTTTAAGATGTTATTTGTTCATGTTTTTGTTTGTTGTGGTTGCACCCGAGTCAAGAGCCGCATTGCTCATAGGTTTATACCTAATGAATGAAACTGAAAACTGAAATTTCCAATTCCCGCGCACCTCCGATTAGCACGGTTTGGCAACGTACGGTGGTGGTGTTGCGAAAAAGTTCCGCATACCATACACGCACACACTGGAATGGCCTTAGTTTCTTTCAGTGATTGTCTGAAGCAAAGTAACCGCTCAACCCCGAGTTTCAAGTTGGTTTCAAGAGACCGAGGGTTGGAGTCTTATTGGCGAGAGCTTTTGGCGAACCGTCGGAGGAAGACGGGTCACTGTATCGCCCGGTGCTTTCAGAGGCACTTCTGCGGCTGTCTGGAACGCTCTTCCCTCCGATACTCACTTCTTTAGAACCGATTTTTGCGTTTAGTTTGTTGTCCTATTCCCCACCCACACCTCCTATTAGCACCGTTGGCTACGTACATGCGAAATAAGTTCAACATACATAGATGGCATACTGCACCATAGACCTAACACGACCCATAGACTCAACACTACTCATAGACTCAGCATTGCCCATAGACTCAACACTGCCCAGACTCAATGCTGCCCATAGACTAACACTTCCCATAGACTCAACAATGCCCAAAGACTAACACTACCCATAGACTCAACACTGCTCATAGACTCAACACTGCCCATAGACTAACCACTGCCCATAGACTCAACACTGCCCCTTGACTCAACACTGCCCAGACTCAATGCTGCCCATATACTCAACACTACCCATAGACTCAACACTGCCCATAGACTCAATACTACCCATAGACTCAACACTTCCCATAGACTCAACAATGCCCAAAGACTAACACTCCCATAGAATCAACACTGCTCATAGACTCAACACAGCCCGTAGACTCAACACTGCCCATAGACTCAAAACTACCCATAGACTCAACACTGCCCGTAGACTCAACACTACCCATAGACTCAACACTGCCCATAGACTCAACACTGCCCATAGACTCAACACTACCCATAGACTCAATATTGCATCTCCGATTAGCACGGTCGGCTATGTACGGTGCAAAAGAAGTTCAACATACAGTCTGTTCTATAACGCCGCGTAGTTTTCATCGCGCGATTTGGATATACCGCGACGATGAATGTGTTAGGTAACAGTATACTTTTTGTAACGCGGGACGCGAATTGTATATAACGCGATGGAGTGAACGGAACTACGTCGCAGCGCGAGTAGGAGTAAGCGGTTTGTACGGCTGTCTCGGCGTAGCGTCACACGAGGCACTGGGATGCTGCTGGATGCTTCTAGATGCTACCCCACGTTCCTCAGTCCTTGTTCGGCCTGCGTACGCATCTCACGTGTTATCGCGGACTGTGCTTTACCCTATGTTATATATTATTCATGATAACGCGATTTTTCCATAACGTGGCGTTCTTCGGGAACACAACCACAGGGACTCCTCTACCTACGAACGAGTTAGGTTCCAGAGGTCTGTTTGTAAGTCGATTTGTTCATAAGTCCAACTTTACTCCTGTCGATTTCAAACGTGTTGTGCGGCATGTACATTAAACATGGGGAATGGCTTTAAAAGTTGTTTAATCTCCTGCAGATGTAGATGCCACTGCCTCTTCATGTTCTGCCGATGTAGATGCCACCACCACCATATATTGTACGGCGGTTGAAATTACGACTCTCGGTCTGAACAGCTGAAATTTCGTAAGTCGAGTGTTCGTAGGTAAAGCAGTCCCTGTACTAACGCGTTGTGGAAGAACAAGACTGTAACGTATGTTCTGAGAGAATCGATGCCACCCTGGAATAGAATCACCACGTGATGGCAGAGAACCGCAATAACAACAAATATCCCCCGTGTAGCCTGTAACAGACTGTAGGGGCAAGTGCTGTTAGCGAGCACCTATGAAGGCCGGAACGGTACACGAGGGGGTGGGTGGCCAGCACCACGCCCGACCGCCTTTGTCTCCCTAGTGGCAATGTTTACACACCGCACCAGGTACTCATTTGAGGCTGAGTCGACCTAGGGGAGGTCCGGGACCGGTTCAGATAATCGTCACTGGTGTTGGCGGTGAGTGGGAATCGAACCTCGTGTCGCCGGGTTCATAGCGCAGCGTAGCGCTAACCGCTACACTAGCGCTTACCCCTGGGGTGACCATCGGGACCTCTCAGAGATCGCGAGAGGCAGGTGACCCTGTGGCTGGAGATGTCACCACGGGGGTCGGGGCGGCTACTGCCTACCGAGGTCGCATCGAGTTGACCTCTCTCTTAACCCGTACCCGCCGCGCCGCAGTCAAAGCGGAAATATTTTCAATTCTCAGAGCTCGGAATTTCACCCAATTAAAAAAGACATTTGAACGTGATCGGGTTTTTATGTTTTGCGTGCAGACATTAGGGAATGGACTGAAACCATCAACTCGCTCCACTTGAGAAGCTGATTTCATCGCAAATCAGTCTACGTGAGTACAGTATATGGGTCTGCACACTCCACGTGAGTCTATTGGTCTCTGTGTGAGTCTATTGGTCTCTGTGTGAGTCTACGGATCTACGTGTGAGTCTACGGGTCTCTGTGTGAGTCTACGGGTCTCTGTGTGAGTCTATTGGTCTCTGTGTGAGTCTATGGATCTATGTTTGTCTATGGGTCTCTATGAGGGTCTATGGGTCACTGTGTGAATCTATGGGTCACTGTGTGATTCTATGGGTCACTGTGTGAGTCTATGGGTCTCTGTGTGAGTCTATGGGTCTCTGTGTGAGTCTATGGGTCTCTGCGTGAGTCTATTGGTCTTTGTGTGAGTCTACGGGTCTCCATGTGAGTCTACGGGTCTCTGTGTGAGTCTATTGGTCTCCGTGTGAGTCTACGGGTCTCTGTGTGAGTCTACGGGTCTCTGTGTGAGGCTATTGGTCTCTGTGTGAGTCTATGGGTCTCCACGTGAGTCTATGGGTCTCTGTGTGAGTCTATTGCTCTCTGTGTGAGTCTACGGTCTCTATGTGAGTCTACTGGACTCTATGTGAGTCTATGCGTCTCTATGTGATTCTAGGGGTATCTATGTGAGTTTACAGGTCACTATGTGAGTCTATGGATCTCTATGTGAATCTATGGATCTCTATGTTATTATATTGGTCTCTACGTGAGTCTATTGGTCTTTGTGTGATTCTATTGGTTTCGATGTGATTATGTGGGTCTCTATGTGAGTCTATGGGTCTCTATGTGAATCTATGGGTCTATATGTGAGCCTATTGGTCTCCTATGTGAGTCTATGGGTGTCTATGTGAATCTATGGGTCTCTATGCTATTATATTGGTCTCTACGTGAGTCTATGGGTCTTTGTGTGATTCTATTGGTTTCTATGTGAGTCTATTGGTCTCCTATGTGAGTCTATGGGTCTCTATGTGAGTCTATTGGTCTCCTATGTGAGTCTACAGGTCTCTGTGTGAGTCTATTGTACTCTGTGTGAGTCTATTGGTCTCCACGTGAGTCTACGGGTCTCTGTGTGAGTCTATTGGTCTCTGTGTGAGTCTATTGGTCTCCTATGTGAGTCTATGGGTCTCTATGTGAGTCTATTGGTCTCCTATGTGAGTTTATGGGTGTCTAACTCAGTCTATGGGTCCCTACCCGAGTCGCTGGTGGACCAGGCTGAGACCACACCTGAGAACCTGGTTTAATCACAGGGCGGCCATATCCTGGATTTCAAACCCACGCTCTAATCGGGCGCCAGCTCAGCACGTGACCTCTGAGCCGCTTCTAAATCTGCAAACTCTCGAAAATGAAAATGAGAAATTAAACAATTCCACCCCGTGGATTTTTGAGAAAAACGGGAGTGGGGAGGGGGGTCGGAGACAGTGTCCTGTCTACACGGAGGCTTCCCGTTGGGGTCGCCCCCCCCCCTCCCTTCACACCATCGGTCATCCCATCAGACGTTCCACACGTCCAGATGAACCCGTTTCGCCGCAGTGGCCTCACAGTCGTCAAACGGAGGGTGCCGGAGGTCTTGCTGCTGCTGCTGCTGGTGGTGCTGGTGGACACGCTGCTGCTGCTGCTGCTGCTGGTGCTGTTGCTGCTGGTGCTGATGGTGGTATTGCCGATCTTCATCACACGAATCGCCGCCACCGCGGGGTGAGCGCGCCGCTGCGAACCCCGCCGGTCCCAGCCCGGGGCTGCTCAGGCTGGCGGCGTGAGCCGGCGGCGCCATCTGCGGCGGCGCCACCGGGGAGGAGCGGCAGGAGCTCTGCGTGGCCGGGGTGGAGAGGTCCCGCGGTGGTGGCAGTGGTGGCGGTGGTGGTGGCGGTGGCGGCGGTGGTGGTGGGGACTGCGGCTCGGCCTTGATGCTGATGTGGTGAGGCAGCGCCGGGTGGTGGGACAGGCTGCTGGCGCACGACCTGCACCGGGAGGACAAGCGGCATCGTCGTCATCATCGTTAGCGTCGTCATCATCGTCATGATTGACGTCATCATCGTCATTGTCGTCGTGATTATCATCGTTGTCATCGTCGTCATCATCGTCGTTGTCGTCATCATGATTGTCATCATCATCGTCGTTATCGTCGTCATCATCGTCATGATTGACGTCATCATCGTCATTGTCGTCGTGATTATCATCGTCGTCATCATCGTCGTGATCATCGTCATTGTCGTCATCATGATTGTCATCATCATCGTCGTTATCGTCGTCATCATCGTCATGATTGACGTCATCATCGTCATTGTCGTCGTGATTATCATCGTCGCCATCATCGTCATCATCGTTGTCGTCGTCATCATCGTCGTCATCATGATTGTCATCATCATCGTCGTCATCGTCATCACCGTCGTCATCGTCGTCATCATCGTTATTGGCTGCCAGTGGATCTTCCCCGACCCCCCGCCCCTTTGGCATGTTGTTTATATTCCGCAGAGACAATACATTGAATGTTTAATTGTTTCATTAATGGAGCACAATATTTAAATCGTGTGACATTTCGGGACCTCGATGAGTCTACGGGTCTCTGTGTGAGTCTACGGGTCTCTGTGTGAGTCTACGGGTCTCTGTGTGAGTCTATGGGTCTCTGTGTGAGTCTACGGGTCTCTGTGTGAGTCTATGGGTCTCTATGTGAGTCTATGGGTCTCTGTGTGAGTCTATGGGTCTCTGTGTGAGTCTATGGGTCTCTATGTGAGTCTACGGGTCTCTGTGTGAGTCTATGGGTCTCTATGTGAGTCTACGGGTCTCTGTGTGAGTCTATGGGTCTCTGTGTGAGTCTATGGGTCTCCGTGAATCTCCGGGTCTCTATGTGAGTTTATGGGTCTCTATGTGAGTCTATGAGTCTCTGTGTGAGTCTATGCGTCTCTATGTGAGTCTATGGGTCTCTATGTGAGTCTGTGGGTCTCTATGTGAGTCTATGCGTCTCTATGTGAGTCTATGGGTCTCTATGTGAGTCTGTGGGTCTCTATGTGAGTCTATGGGTCTCTATGTGAGTCTATGGGTCTCTGTGTAAGTCAATGGGTCTCTATGTGAGTCTATGGGTCTCTGAGTAAGTCAATGGGTCTCTATGTGACTCTATGGGTCTCTGTGTGAGTCTATGGGTCTCTATGTGAGTCTGTGGGTCTCTATGTGAGTCTATGGGTCTCTATGTGAGTCTATGGGTCTCTATGTGAGTCTATGGGTCTATATGTGAGTCTACGGGTCTCTATGTGAGTTTGTGGGTCTCTATGTGAGTCTACGGGTCTCTGTGTGAGTCTATGGGTCTCTATGTGAGTCTATGGGTCTCTATGTGAGTCTGTGGGTATTTATATGAGTCTATGGGTCTATATGTGAGTCTATGGGTCTCTATGTGAGTCTGTGGGTCTCTATGTGAGTCTATGGGTCTCTATGTGAGTCTATGGGTCTCTGTGTGAGTCTATGGGTCTCTATGTGAGTCTATGGGTCTCTATGTGAGTCTATGGGTCTCTATGTGAGTATATGGGTCTCTATGTGAGTATATGGGTCTCTATGTGAGTCTACGGGTCTCTATGTGAGTCTACGGGTCTCTGTGTGAGTCTACGGGTCTCTGTGTGAGTCTACGGGTCTCTATGTGAGTCTACGGGTCTCTGTGTGAGTCTGTGGGTCTCTATGTGCATCTATGGGTCTCTATGTGAGTCTACGCATCTCTGTGTGAGTCTACGGGTCTCTATGTGAGTCTACGGGTCTCTGCGTGAGTCGCCTGGGATTCCGTTGTCTCACGCGAGGGTGTTGAGCGCCGCGGGGTTGTGAGAGGTCTGCTGGGTGTGCACCCAGCCTGGCACGGAGACGTGAGGCCCCCCGGGGGGAGAGGGGAACCCAGCCAGCGGGGACAGCTCGCCAGTGGACAGCAGGAAGTCTGAAACACACGCGGCGGAATCAAAGTAAAGATCCCCCGTGTAGGCTTGCAGACCGTGAGGGGCAATTGCCAACAGCGGGCAGTCATCGCGGCCGGCCGCCTTTGTCTCCCCAGTGGCGATGTTCACACGCCGCACCAGGGACTCACTCGAGGCCGAATCGACCTAGGGGAGGCCCCAGGGCCTGTTCAGATAACCGTCACCGCTGTGCCACCGCTCCCACGCGCGCGTGTCTGAGCACGCGCGCGTGGTGACGCATACGCTGTGACGCGTACGCTGTGACGTGTACGTGGTGACGTGTACGCTGTGACGTGTACGCGATGACGTGTACGTGGTGACGTGTACGCGGTGACGTGTACGCTGTGACGTGTACGCGGTGACGTGTACGCTGTGACGTGTACGCGGTGACGTGTACGCGGTGACGTGTACGCGGTGACGTGGACGTTGTGACGTGTACGTGATGACGTGTACGCTGTGACGTGTACACTGTGACGTGTACGCGGTGACGTGTACGCTGTGACGTGTACGTGGTGACGTGTGCGTGGTGACGTGTACGCTGTGACGTGTACGCTGTGACGTGTACGTGGTGACGTGTACGCTGTGACGTGTACGCTGTGACGTGTACGCTGTGACGTGGACGTTGTGACGTGTACGTGATGACGTGTACGTGATGACGTGTACGCTGTGACGTGTACGTGGTGACGTGTGCGTGGTGACGTGTACGCTGTGACGTGTACGTGATGACGTGTACGCTGTGACGTGTACGTGATGACGCGTACGCTGTGACGCGTACGCGGTGACGTGTACGTGATGACGTGTACGCTGTGACGTGTACGTGATGACGTGTACGCTGTGACGTGTACGCTGTGACGTGAACGCTGTGACGTGTACGTGGTGACGTGTACGTGATGACGTGTACGCTGTGACGTGTACGCTGTGACGTGTACGTGGTGACGTGTACGCGATGACGTGTACGCTGTAACGTGTACGCTGTGACGTGGACGCTGTGACGTGTACGCTGTGACGTGTACGCTGTGACGTGTACGTGGTGACGTGTACGCTGTGACGTGTACGCAGTGACATGTACGCTGTGACATGTACGTTGTGACGTGTACGTTGTGACGTGTACGCAGTCACGTGTACATTGTGACGTGAACGCTGTGACGTGTACGCTGTGACGTGTACGTTGTGACGTGTACGCAGTCACGTGTACATTGTGACGTGAACGCTGTGACGTGTACGCTGTGACGTGTACGCAGTCACGTGTACGTTGTGACGTGTACGCTGTGACGTGTACGCTGTGACGTGAACGTGATGACGTGTACGTTGTGACGTGTACGCTGTGACGTGTACGCGGCGACGTATACACTGTGATGTGTACTCCTCGATGTATAGGCGCACACGAACTGTAATAATTTTTATTGTTCCATCACGAACTGTAATAATTTGTATTGCTCCATCACGAACTGTAATAATGTTTATTACTACATCACGAACTTTAATAATGTTTATTGCTACATCGCGAGCTGTAATAATGCTTATTGCTGCATCGCTTTGCTTGGCGTCGCGATTGCGAGCGACGGGACAGTGCCGCTCCGCGTTTTTGTCGCGGTCGTGGCCTCTGTGCAGTGGCAACGTTGCCGCACGTGGTCCCGAGTCCGATGAGCCCCAGTCCGACGATTCGTCTGCGCTCGGAATGTTTTCCTTGCCCTCAAGATTGTTGGAACGCGACGGCGGGCGACACAGCGGAGAGCAGACGGGGCTCAGCGCTTGACGGTGACGGCACCACGCCGCAAGATCTCGCCCCCTCTTATCACCTCCCGATTAACGCGGTTGGTGCGAAAGAAGTTCAACATTCATACTGCCCGTAGACTCAACACTACCCACAGACTCAACACTGCCCGTAGACTCAACACTACCCACAGACTCAACACTGCCCGTAGACTCAACACTACCCACAGACTCAACACTGCCCGTAGACTCAACACTACCCACAGACTCAACACTGCCCGTAGACTCAACACTACCCACAGACTCAACACTGCCCGTAGACTCAACACTGCCCACAGACTCAACACTGCCCGTAGACTCAACACTGCCCGTAGACTCAACACTGCCCATAGACTCAACACTGCCCATAGACTCAACACTACCCATAGACTCAACACTGCACCATAGACTTAACACTACCCATAGACTCAACACTACCCATAGACTCAACACTGCCCATAGACTCAACACTACCCATAGACTCAACACTTCCCATAGACTCAACACTGCCCATAGACTCAACACTGCCCATAGACTCAACACTGCCCATAGACTCAACACTGCCCATAGACTCAACACTGCCCATAGACTAACACTACCCACAGACTCAACACCGCCCGTAGACTCAACACTGCCCATAGACTCAACACTGCCCATAGACTCAACACTACCCGTAGACTCAGCACTGCCCACAGACTCAGCACTGCCCGTAGACTCAGCACTGCCCATAGACTCAACACTACCCATAGACTCATCACTACCCATAGACCCAACACTGCCCATAGACTCAACACTACCCGTAGACTCAGCACTGCCCACAGACTCAGCACTGCCCATAGACTCAGTACTACCCATAGACTCAACACTGCCCATAGACTCAACACATTCCCTGTACACGAAGCATTCCCCCTCCTTAACCTCCTCCCGCTCCTCTCTTAAAGCCTCAACACCTATTCCCCACCCCCCATTCCTCTTCCCTCCCCTCGCCCCTCAACCCTCCCCTGTAGCCCTTTCCTGATCACTACGCACCCCCCCATCGCTGCTTTCACCATTCCTCAATCCTCGCATGCCCCCCGGTCAACCTCATGGTTCCATTCTGCGTCAACGCGTGGTTTTCACAACGCGAATTGGATTGATATAACGCGATGATGAATGCATTAGGGAGCACGTTTTCTTTTATAACAGGGAATGCGAATTGGATGTAACGCGGTCGAGTGAACGGAACTGCGTTGCAGCCCTGGAATGCTGCTGGATGCTTCTAGACGCTACCCCACGTGCCCTCAGTCTTTGCTCGTCCCTGCATTACGCATATCACGTGTTATCGCGGACCGTGCTTTACCCCCCATATTTATATTTTGTTTATGATCACGCGATTTTAGTTCAGGAAGGCAACAACTACGACCGCGGCCTTATAGGAGAAAGGGTTGCGCGAGTGTGCGTGTTCACGTGTGTGCGCGCTTGCGCGAGTGTTCACGTGTGTGCGCGCGAGTGTTGACGTGAGTGTGCGTGTTCACGTGTGCTCGCGCGAGTGTGTGAGTGTTCCCGTGTGCGTGTGCATGTTCACGTGTGCGCGAGTGTGTGCGTGTTTACGTGTGTGCGCGAGTGTGTGCGTGTCCACGTGTGCTCGCATGAGTGTTGACGTGTGCGTGCGTGTTCACGTGCTGACGCGTGTGTGCGCGTGTGTGAACACGTGAACAGCCACTCACCACTACTGTAGCTGCCCGCGTATCCCGACATGAGCCCCTGCACTCCTTGGCCACAGCTCACCCGCTGGTTCTGAACAGGTACACAACAACAACAACCGCCGTTCACCACTAAGTAGCGCTGACGCCACCACGGCCCTTTGTGCCAGCCTAGGTGCACTTTGAGGCCATGTGAAGTGTCCAAGGCCCGCTGGCAGGAGGTCACAGGACAGACCCAGGTGCTAGGGGTTGACTGGCAGAGGTGACTGGCAGTGGCACCAGCTGTGCCTCCTACTGTGCCAAATTGCTGTGCTTTAGCCACCCGGCGCTCCGCTCGTTGTTGTGAGCGTCGTTCTTCCGCCCTCCGTTGTTGCTGGAGGGCGACTGCCTCCAACTGCCCAGTAGCGTCCTTCACGAGCCTCCTCCACAGAGGCAGATCTTGACACCGCTGGTACCGCTCATCGGCAAGTCCACTCAGCTCTACATCTTCCTGTACCACATCACTCCATCTCTTCTCCAGCCAGTGCCTTGCCCGTTTAGCCCCCCATCTATCCGGCCGAACAGAAGCTGCTTGGGCATGCGGTGCTACACCAATACGAACACCCCGCCATTCGCCACTAAGTGACGGTACCTCACCACGGGGCCTGTGCCAGGCAAGGTGCATGAGGTCTCGGGACAGACCCAGCAGGTGCCATGGGTCGGCTGATAGAGATGACCGGTAGATGCGCCGGGTGCCAGACACACTCACTCAAAGCAACAGCAATCACAGCTCGCAACACAGGCGGTTATACCAACAGCAGCTTGCGCCGCTCGGGGGTTGGCCGTGATAATGGGGATACGACGAGGGGAATTTGGAGTGGCTGCCGGGTGTGAGATCCGTGCACGGGATCTGGACGGCGTGTGCATGCGCCATCCAGAGCTCCCGAGGACATACTCTTAGTTTTTTCACGTAGGTAAAAAAATGAAATTAAAATTAATAAAAATAAAAGAATAAAAATCACGACGTTTCGGAGGCAACACAAGCTAACCAAATTTTGTTTTCATTCAGACGCTGTCTTTCCGACAGACCTGTTCTTCACCTGAGGACGGCTGCTTGCGTTGTGGCCGAAACGTCGTGAGAATTTATTTTAATTATGTTTAACTTTTATTATTTTATTATTTCCCTTCTACGTGACTTTACCGAAAGAACCAAGAAGATGTTCCAAACATGTTCGCGCAGCATTGGAAATGGCAAAAACGTCGACCGCTGTAGTGCCGCTCGTCTACGCGATCTCACCAGCATGAGGGACATGGCAGGCTGCTTGCCCATTGGTCCGTGCGATCTGCCCGAGTCCAGCCTCCTCCCTCCGGCAGCCAATCCCGTCCCGGGGGGAGTCGCAGATTTTCCCAGAATCCCTCCCGGCGCGGGGCCGCTACCCATGATGCCTCGGTGCGAGGACGCGCCCAAATATCCGTTGCCTGGGGAAACAAAGGGACTTGAGCACGTGACATCATCGTCATAATCGTCACGCATGGTCCATCCACTGCTGGATGAAGGCCTTCCCGAAGGCCACGTGTCACGATCCCGCGACGAAGCGATCCAGCGGGAGGCTGCCGATGTTGTCACCGCTCCATCTCCTAGGTGGTTGTCCTCAAACAAACGCCTCGGACGAATTACACTGGTCAACACACTTTTTCTGGCATAAGGTATTCCAACGGGTTTAAGGTAATTTTAGGGTGCCGATTCCAAATCTGGCATCAGTTTTTGTCTATCACATCAGGTTTTTTGAGATATCAAATATTGCATTTTCAATAAAAACTGCAGAAGAAAAGTATTAAATAAATGTGGATATCTACATAAAATGATATTATAAACATACTATCCTAAAAATACAGCACCATATTTTAACACTAAAGCAGTCACTGACTGGCAACAACTTGCAATCATAAGTGACAGAGTTAATTTCAGGTAAAATCAATGAAAATGGGGTATGCCGATAGCATAAAAATGAGATGTGAGAGAGGAAATCTGAGATCAGATTTGGAATCAGCACCCTGAAATTAGTCTAGGAACAGCTGCAAAAGTCCAGGCCAGAAAAAACTTTTTTTTTGTTGACCAGTCTAATTATAATAATTAATAATAATAATTCATTAATAATAATAATTATTATTATAATAATGATGAATCTGAGCCCTGTGCCCTCGTTAAACCCCACCAGCCGCTCGCCGCCTGAACCCGAGCCCCGCAGATTTGGAATCAGCACCCTGAAATGAATCTAAAACAGCTGCAAAAGTCCAGGCCAGAAATGTTTTTGTTGTTGTTGTTGTTGACCAGTCTTAGAGAGGCACAGGGCCACGTCCCTCACTCCACTGCTGGATGGCGACAGCCTCCACACGCAGCTGCGGGCTGTGGTGGCGGGGGGGGGGGGGTTTGTCCATACTTCACCACACTGGTCACGGTGAAGATGACGGCAATAACTAAAGGGGCATTTCATGCGAACCGTGTTCCTATTGTTAATGCGACAATGCCCTCTCGTGGTGACAGACAAAGACAAAGATCCCCCGTGTAGCCTGAACAGACTGTCGGGGCAAGTGCTGTTAGCGAGCACCTATGAAAGCCGGCACGGCACATGAGCATGTGGGTGGCCAGCACCACGCCCGACCGCCTTTCTCTCCCCTAGTGGCAATGTTTACACCGCACCAGGTACTCATTTGAGGCTGAGTCGACCTAGGGGGAGGCCCGGGACCGGTTCCAGATAATCGTCAACGGGTGTTGGTGGCCGTGAGCGGGAACGCGAGTCGGGAGGGCGGGTTCGCAGCGGGCTGACCCAGCTGCACGACCGCCCCCTTGTGGTCACAGACCGCAGGCATCACAACACGCAAAGTGCGGTGACGCTGACGGTGATGCAGTACCGCGTGTCACCACGAGGGGTGCCGAAACGATGTCACGGTGAGATCGTTCGGCGATGGCTGCCGGTTCAAGTTTTTTCAAGTTTTTTTAAGTTTTCATTTATTAGGTATGGCCCCGTGAGCCCTGTGAGACACGTGGCTCTTCTTGAGTCGGGAGCAACCGCAACAGACAAAATATGAACAGAGGACATCTTAAAGCGACAGAAACATCCTGGGATAAACCAGCAAATCTTCCAGGAAAACAAAAAACACCGTCTTCTTGGTTCTTTCAGTAAAGTCACGTAGAATGGAAATAATAAAATTAAAAAAATAAAACATTATAAAATAATTCTCACGACGTTTCGGCCACAACGCAAGCAGCCGTCCTCAGGTGGAGAACAGGTCTGTCGGGGAGACAGCGTCTGAATGACAGACCTGTTCTCCACCTGAGGACGGCTGCTTGCGTTGTGGCCGAAACGTGGTGAGAATTATTTTATTATGTTTTATTTTTATTATTTTATTATTTCCCTTCTACGTGACTTTACCGAAAGAATCAAGAAGATGAATCCCTGCAGTCACGAAAGCTTTAAATCGAAATTCAGCCCTTGGCTGTAAACATCTGCCAGTTCGCCAGCCTTGGCTTCAAGCGAGCCCGACTCTGCTGATGAGACAGTGGATGTTGAAACCAGCCCTTGGAACTCTTTTACACGATTGTCTGTGTGTCTGTGTTTCCCTCCCTACCCCACGTAGCTTTAAATCGAAAAAACCCACCGTATTACAACGCTGTGTGCAAAAATCCCAGTGGTGGCGATGCATGGACACAGTCCAACAACAACAACTTAACGCGCTCCCTGTGAATAACAACAACAGCAGCAGCGGCAACAGCATCCACAACAGCACCGCACGCGCGTGTGTGGCCTTAATAGGATAAGTACATAATGGGCGACGTTTCGGGTAATGGCCCTCGTTCACTGTGCACGTTGGTTGTCCTTCCCCACGCGCCTCCAATTAGTACGGTGGGTGCCACATACGGTGCGAAAGAAGTTAAACATACGTACAGCCCACAGACTAACACTGTACATAGACTAACACTGTACATAGACTCAACACTGCCCATAGACTAACACAGCCCATAGACTAACACTGTACATAGACTCAACACTACCCATAGACTAACACTGCCCATAGACTAACACTGCCCACAGACTAACACTGCCCATAGACTCAACACTGCCCATAGACTCAACACTGCCCACAGACTAACACTGCCCATAGACTAACACTGCCCATAGACTCAACACTGCCCAAAGACTAACACTGCCCATAGACTCAACACTACCCATAGACTCAACACTGCCCACAGACTAACACTGCCCATAGACTCAACACTGCCCATAGACTAACACTGCCCACAGACTAACACTGCCCACAGACTAACACTGCCCATAGACTCAACACTGCCCATAGACTAACACTGCCCATAGACTCAACACTGCCCATAGACTCAACACTACCCATAGACTCAACACTGCCCATAGACTCAACACTACCCATAGACTCAACACTATCCATGGACTCAACACTGCCCATAGACTCAACACTACCCATAGACTCAACACTACCCATAGACTCAATACTACCCATAGACTAACACTATCCATGGACTCAACACTACCCATAGACTCAACACTGCCCATAGACTCAACACTACCCATAGACTCAACACTGCCCATAGACTCAACACAGCACATATACTCAACACTACCCAAAGACTCAACACTACCCATAGACTCAACACTACCCATAGACTCAACACTGCCCATAGACTCAACACTATCCATGGACTCAACACTACCCATAGACTCAACACTGCCCATAGACTCAACACTGCCCATAGACTCAACACAGCACATAGACTCAACACTACCCATAGACTCAACACTACCCATAGACTCAACACTACCCATAGACTCAATACTGCCCATAGACTAACACTGCCCATAGACTCAACACTGCCCATAGACTCAACACTGCCCATAGACTCAACACTGCTCATAGAGAACCTATAGTAAACCCATAGACCACAACAACATCATCATCATCACTGCTGCACCACAACATCATCAACATCATCATCACTGCTGCACCACAACATCATCAACATCATCACCACTGCTGCTGCTACCCTCTAGAGCAGCATGGAGACTTCACGTCTCAGTCATTTCACTACGCAGCTGTAAGTTTATTTTGTAGCCTAGGGGACCCCCCCCACCTGCACACAGCTGCCCCTGTGTGGCACCAGGCGTGGTTATCCGCCTCCTCCCTGCGCTCACCTGCTCACCTGCGCTCACCTCCTCACCTTGCGCTCACCTCCTCACCTGCGCTCACCTATCACCTGCGATCGCCTCCTCACCTGCACTGGCTGGCCTTGGCGGGGGCAGCAGCTGGGGCGATGAGGAGTGGTGCCGGTGAGGGGCCAGCTGCCCCCCGTGAATGGGAGAGCCACCTCCTCCACCTCCTCCTCCACCTCCTCCACCTCCTCCTCCACTTCCTCCACCTCCACCTCCTCCTCCTCCACCTCCTCCTCCTCCACCTCCTCCACCTCCTCCTCCGTCTCCGCACCCCGCGGTGGCCGGGTGCCCCCCTGGGTAGGGGGACGCCGAGGAGTGGGGACCCCCTAGAGGGTAGGGACCCGTGGGACCCGCGCCCTGCGGACACAGAGGAGACGCAGAGAGACGCAATCACAGAGAGACACAATCACAGAGAGACAATCACAGAGAGACACTCACAGAGAGACGCAATCACAGAGAGACACAATCACAGAGAGACGCAATCACAGAGAGACACAATCACAGAGAGACAATCATAGAGAGACACTCACAGAGAGACGCAATCACAGAGAGACACACTCACAGAGAGACGCAATCACAGAGAGACACAATCACAGAGAGACACAATCACAGAGAGACACTCATAGAGAGACACTCACAGAGAGACGCAATCACAGAGAGACACTCACAGAGAGACACAATCACAGAGAGACAGACGCAGAGAGACGCAATCACAGAGAGATAGTCACAGAGAGACACAATCACAGAGAGACACAATCACAGAGAGACACAATCACAGAGAGACACAATCACAGAGAGACACAATCACAGAGAGACATAATCACAGAGAGACAGACGCAGAGGCACAGAGTGACATCAGGGAAGACGCGCAGAGAGACACAGAGAGACACATGAACAGAGACAGAGCGACAGACACAGAGACACCGAGAGACACAGAGAGACAAAAATCACGGAGAGAGGCCGAGAGACAGAGACACACGGAGAGACAAAATGACAGAGAGACACAGAGACAGAGGCAGGCAGATGGACAGTCACACACGGAGAGAGACACGGAGAGACACAGAGAGACACACTGACAGAGAGACAGAGAGACAGAGGCAGGCAGATGGACAGTCACACACGGAGATAGACACGGAGAGACACAGAGAGACAAAGGCAGGCAGAAGGACAGTCACACACGGAGACAGACACGGAGAGACACAGAGAGACACAATGACAGAGAGACAGAGAGACAGAGGCAGGCAGATGGACAGTCACACACGGAGAGAGACACGGAGAGACACAGAGAGACACAATGACAGAGAGACAGAGAGACAGAGGCAGGCAGATGGACAGTCACACACGGAGACAGACACAGAGAGACACAGAGAGACACAATGACAGAGAGACAGAGAGACACAGAGGCAGGCAGATGGACAATCACACACGGAGACAGACACAGAGAGACACAGAGAGACACAATGACAGAGAGACAGAGAGACACAGAGGCAGGCAGATGGACAATCACACACGGAGACAGACGCGGAGAGACACAGAGAGACACAATGACAGAGAGACAGAGAGACAGAGGCAGGCAGATGGACAGTCACACACGGAGACAGACACGGAGAGACACAGAGAGACAAAATGACAGACAGACAGAGAGACAGAGGCAGGCAGATGGACAATCACACACGGAGACAGACACAGAGACAGGGACGTCACCCTTTATTACCCAGACCAATCATTGTCATTACCCAGACCGATTATTATGATCATCATCATCATCAAGCAGCATTTGTTTAAACGCGTTCATACACGGCATGTGTCCAATTGTCAGACTCGCCCCTGTCACAGGAACGTGGAGACTTTGACAGAGGACGGCTGCTTGCGTTGTGGCCGCAACGTCGTGAGAATTGTTTTATTATGTTTTATTTATTATTGTATTACTTCCCTTCTACGTGACTTTACCGAAAGAACCAAGAAGATGAAATCCAGGCCGTCATTCTCATCTATATTTGGGGGGGAGACATCCCCCCCCAATTCAAATATGCTCAAAATGTCCCCCCCAATATATTGCTATAAAAAATAATTGCTATGCTATGTAAATAAAAATAACAATTTACTAAACCTTGGCCACAATATCTGGACTTATCTTCATATAAATCAGTGTAGATTTCTGTTCATATGATTGCGGTTATGGTTGTATTTTATCAATCCCTAATCTCTGCCATTACATATAATGACACAGGAAATGGTAAAACAAGTTAAAACAGAGCAATGTAATACAACAGACATTGTTGTAAAAAATAAATAAAAAGTCCATCCCATGTGTTAGTGCATTTTTAAATATTTTAGGCAGGAAATTAGTTTTCAAACTTAGTTATTTTTAAATCCTTTATATTAAGTTCGCTTGCTTGCTTACGACCGTGCAAATCTTTCGGTCGTTTTTAACCCACTTCCCGTGATCCAATCGAGCTGATATTTTCCACACAGACTCGTTGTGCGTGACAATTAATGTTCGTGAAATTTTTTGTTCCAAAATTTTACACTTTTTAGGACAGAAATATTATATTTAATTACCAATTGCTTAATGGTGCAATGCAATCATCTGACCCATAGGTGGCAGCCATCTCAAGCCAGAGGACGAGAGGACTCTAGCCGCCACGCATATAAAGGATTTATAGTGAAACACTTTGTTTTTACGGGTTATACTTGTTCTGGGTTGGGACCCCCTGTAAGATTTGGTCCCCCCCAATGTTGACTGCACGGCTACGGCCTTGGAACAACCGCACCGACACACACCCAGCGGCTCGTCGTACACCCCGCGGGAGCCGCAACACCGCCATGCCTCGGAGGGGGTCCTGACACTCGCGCGCAGCAGGGGGCGATGCTGATGCTGCTTCTTGCTGCTGTTGATGATACTGCTGCAGTGCTGTTGCTGCTGCTACTACTGCTGCTGCTGATTCTGCTGATGCTGCTCCTACTGCTGCTTGCTGCTGTTACTGCTGCTTGCTGATACTTGCTGCTTGCTGCTGTTGCTGTTTCTGCTGCTGTTGTTGCTGCTGTTGTTGCTGTTGCTGCTGTTGCTGATACTTGCTGCTTGCTGCTGTTTCTGGTTACTGCTGCTTGCTGCTGATACTGCTGCTTGCTGCTGTTGCTGTTTCTGCTTGCTGCTGCTGATACTGCTGCTTGCTGCTGCTGCTGATACTACTGCTGCTGTTGCTGATACTGCCACTTGCTGCTGTTGCTGCTGCTGCTACTGCTGCTGTTGCTTGTTGACCCCCACCACCCCCTGCTGAGTGATTGACATGGAGAGCTTCGTTGTTGTTGAGAACTGGGGATGCGGTTTTGGTTGGTACCGGTCGGAGCGAGGTGAGCGGGGCGAGGTGGTGAGGGGGGCGAGGTGGTGAGGGGGGCGAGGTGGTGAGGGGGGCGAGGTGGTGAGGGGGGCGAGGCGGTGAGGGGGGCGAGGCGGTGAGGGGGGCGAGGCGGTGAGGGGGGCGAGGCGGTGAGGGGGGCGAGGCGGTGAGGGGGGCGAGGCGGTGAGGGGGGCGAGGCGGTGAGGGGGGCGAGGCGGTGAGGGGGGCGAGGCGGTGAGGGGGGCGAGGCGGTGAGGGGGGCGAGGTGGTGAGGGGGGCGAGGCGGTGAGGGGGGCGAGGCGGTGAGCGGGGCGAGGTGGTGAGGGGGGCGAGGTGGTGAGGGGGGCGAGGCGGTGAGCGGGGCGAGGTGGTGAGGGGGGCGAGGTGGTGAGGGGGGCGAGGCGGTGAGGGGGGCGAGGCGGTGAGGGGGGCGAGGTGGTGAGGGGGGCGAGGTGGTGAGGGGGGCGAGGCGGTGAGGGGGGCGAGGCGGTGAGGGGGGCGAGGCGGTGAGGGGGGCGAGGCGGTGAGGGGGGCGAGGCGGTGAGGGGGGCGAGGCGGTGAGGGGGGCGAGGTGGTGAGGGGGGCGAGGTGGTGAGGGGGGCGAGGCGGTGAGGGGGGCGAGGCGGTGAGCGGGGCGAGGTGGTGAGGGGGGCGAGGTGGTGAGTCTATGGGTCTCTATGAATCTATGGGCCTCCATGCGAGTCCAAAGGGCTCTATGTATCTTTAGGGCTCTATGAATCTATGGGTCTCTACGTATGGGTCATTATGTATGGTTTTATGGTTTTCTATGTGAGTCTATGGGTCTCTATGTGAGTCTATGGGTCTCTATGTGAGTCTACGGGTCTCTATGTGAGTCTATGGGTCTCTATGTGAGTCTATGGGTCTCTGTGTGAGTCTATGTGTCTCTGTGTGAGTCTATGGGTCTCTATGTGAGTCTATGTGTCTCTGTGTGAGTCTACGGGTCTCTATGTGAGTCTATGGGTCTCTATGTGAGTCTATGGGTCTCTGTGTGAGTCTATGTGTCTCTATGTGAGTCTACGGGTCTCTATGTGAGTCTATGGGTCTCTGTGTGAGTCTATGGGTCTCTGTGTGAGTCTATGTGTCTCTGTGTGAGTCTATGTGTCTCTGTGTGAGTCTACGGGTCTCTATGTGAGTCTATGTGTCTCTATGTGAGTCCACGCATCTCTATGTGAGTCTATGGGTCTCTGTGTGAGTCTATGTGTCTCTGTGTGAGTCTATGTGTCTCTGTGTGTCTATGGGTCTTTATGTGAGTCCTAT